TCCCTTGTTCGCCGATGAGGTGAAAGGAGACGCGCTTTTTCCTTCCCTTTCAGCAAGGACGTGTTCTGAAGGCAATTTGCAGTGGTGGGTGCACACTTTGTGAGCATACTGCCGGAAGAAATCTGGACGCTCGATTGGCCGTGGCCATTATCAGTCCTGTGCAACCTGACCTGACCTGACCTGACCTGATTTATAAACCTAATTCACTCGCTTCCTTGACCTGTGCAACTGAACTGAACTGGACTAAACTGTGCTTCAAGTACCCAAATGCTACTTAAATCAAACAAATTTAAGACGGTTTTTTTCTCTAAAGGTGACAAATGTTAGTTCCAATGACGTGGATCAATTAAACATGTCTGGAAATAGCAATTAGTGACGATAGGTATATACAGTGACCACCGTTTTTAGCTTAAATGTAGAAATAGATGCAGTCGTCCAAGATTTCAACTTCGGTGAAAACTTGAGCAAATAGATACGATAAATTGATTTTTAAAAAATATAAAAACTTTGGGATCCATTTAAAATGTTTTTAGAGTCGAAAGAACTCCGGGAATGGTCATCAGGCATGGGATGCCGGCGGGTGACCTGAGCCATGGATTTTTTTGCCAATGATAAATCATATACTATTTTACTTAATAAATCCATCGCAAAATCGATTAGTGAAAAAATATTTCAGGGGACTCCTGAGTGTCCACCTATGCTGCGTAGGTCTCGAATTTCGTATTCTGGAGTCGTGTAAGTCGAAGTTTTGAAAATTGTTTGCACACATTTTTCAGTTCTGTCGAGATCTCAGGTCGCGATGTCAATATGTGTTTCATCTCCGACATCTCCGTCAGACATGGGCGCTACCGTAATCCAAATCAGTCCACCCAGTGCTACTCTGCCGGTTAACCTCAACCCCGGTCCGCTCTGATTCAGCTAGTACACCACGTCGGAAAGGACGGAAGAAAAGTGGACAGGATGGCGGGAACGATTGGTGCTCAACCGCTGCTCCACCACCGACGCGTCGGTGGTGCTAACCACGGTTAGCACCACAGTCCAGGTGCCAAATGAAGGAGGATCGCCTGCAAGGTCCCTGTCGCATGCCACATCGGAGACCTCGGAGAGATGGAGGAAACTGGAGAGTGCCACCAAACGAAATGCCCCTCAGCGTAACCAGTGCTTTTCAGCACTGAACCTACTCGAGGCCTCACCGAAGGCATTGGATCTCTCAGGAGTCAGTAATCCTAATGGATCAAAAGCGAAAGATCCCAATTTGCCAGGATCAGCATAAGGACCGATATCGTCTGTAACGTCAACTCAGAAATAGCCTTAAGAAAGATCGTGAAAATTGGTGGGCCAAAATAGCTAGTGAAATGGAGGTAGCTTCTGCATCAGGGAATAGTTAAAGACTATTTCACCCGATACGCAGCACCGGAGGTCATCGCATACCGGTCAGTGAGACCATTTGTGACAACAGTGAACCAGGCATTCGCAATAAAGAACAACGACTTGATCGCTGGGCAGAGTATTTTAGTGAACAGTTCAATTGGCCTAGTGTTATTGTGGTCATTCCAGCAATCGCGGCGGAAACTCCATGGGTGGCAACATGCGAGCCCCCATCAGAATCGGAAATACGAAGCTGCATTCAAGCACTGAAGAAAGGAAAGGCTGCGGGACCTGATGGCCTTCTCCCCATTCTTTTAGAGGTGGGTGGAGATTCTCTTGTCGACTCAATTACTAGGTCACTCTGCAGCATTTGGACGGAGGAGCGTATCCCTTTGTCCTGGGGTGAATCGTTGATCGTCCCCATCTTCTGTAGGATTAGTTTAGTTCCGATAATCAAAAAACTGTAGACGTCTGTGATACCTCGCCACCTGACACCCTTAGGGGAGAGGAATATCCGCGAACGACAAGCCGGATGCTGAACAGGTCACGGTTGCATCGACCAAACCTTCAATCTGCGTCAAGTCCTCCAACTGCGTCAAACACATCGTTGGCCAACAATCGCAGTGTTCCTTGACCTAAAAGGAGCCTTCGGTTCAGTTGAACGTGAAGCTCTTCTGGGATCGCTGCTCCGCAAAGGAATGTCGCGGAAGTATGTTAACCTATTGCGGTCGTTGTACCCGCATATTTCTGGTGGCGTAAGGATCTACAGTGGGCTAAGTAAATCGTTCGAAAACAGGAGCGGTGTCCGTCAAGGGTGCCCTATTTCACCATTCCTGTTCAATTTCGTCGTATACGAAGTACTGGAGAACGCACTTAGTAGTCTCCAGAACGTAGGTATTCAATGGACAGCTGGAGTAACCTTCTGTGACTTAGAGTACGCTGGTGACATCGTTTGTCTGCTCGAATGTATGGAGGATACGCAAGGCGCTCTTGACAGACTTTCAAGTTCTGTAACTCCTTTCGGCATGCGCTTTGCACCTTCAAAGTGCAAAGTGATGCTACAAGACTGGGTGTCGTCTACCGCAGCGCTGATGCTTGATGGTCAAGAGTTAGTTGTAGTGGAATGTTTCGCCTACTTAGGTAGCTGCGTTTCAAATGACAGTAGCACAGTCAATGAAGAAACCGCCCGCATTTCCAAGGATCGAGCAGCTTATGCAGGATTGAAACACCTCTGTTGCAGACACGATGTTTCGTTGAAACTGAAAGGTCGCGTATACTGCGCCAG